GTATTTGATTGGCTAATATTTTCTTAAGGATTTTAGCATCTATGTTCATCAGGGGTATTGGCCTAAAATGTTCTTTCTTTTTAGTGTCTTTATCTGGTTTTGGAATTAGGATGATGAGCTTGGAAGTCTTCACTCCTCTTCAATTTTTTAAAATAGTTTAAGGAGAGATGTTAGTTCTTCTCAGAATGTTTACTGAAATTCACCTGTGAAGCCATCAAGTCCAGGGCTTTAGTTTGCTGGGATTTAAAAAATAGATTTAAACTTTATTATATTTTCTTCATTACCATTTAGTTCCCTTATACCCCTCTCCCCCTAGCAAAGGAGTTGTTTGATTACTGCTTCAATTTCATTAGGTATAATCTGCCTAATTAGATTCTCTGATTCTTCCCGATTTAGTTTTGGAAGTTGTATGTTTCAGGAATTTATCCATTTCATCCAGGCTGTCCAGTTTGTTGGCATATCCTAGCCACAGCAATCAGACGAAAAGAAGAAATAAAAGGCATCTGAATTGGAAAGGAAGAGGTAAAACTATTTTTATTTGCAGATGATATGATACCGTACATAGAGAATCCCAAAGATTCCACCAAGAAACTACTAGAACTGACAAATTCAGCAAAATAGCAGTATATAAAATTAATATTCAGATATCAGTTGCATTTTTACATTCCAATAATGAACTAACAGAAAGGGAAATTAAGAAAACAACCCCATTCACAATTTCTTCAAAAAGAATAAAATATCTAGGAATAAACCTAACCAAGGATGTAAAAGCCCTGTTTTCAGAAAATTATGATACTGAAGAAAGAAATTAAAGAAGCTACAAATAAGGTGAAGCACATATTGTGTTCATGGATGGGAAGAATTAACATCATTAAAATGTCCATACTAAAGCAATCTATAGATTCAACATAATTATCCTATTAAGATTCCAATGACCTATTTCAAAGAACTAGAACAAATATTTCAAAAATTTATATGGAACTATGGAAGGCCCCACATAGCAACAACGATTCTGAGAAAGAAGAACAAAGTTGGAGGAATCATGCTACCTAATGTGAAACTATACTATAATGCCATAGTAATCAAAACAGCATGGTACTGGCATAAGAAACAGACACATAAATAAATGGATCAGAAAAGAGAGCTCAGAAATAAATCCACACCTTTAGAGTCAATTAATATTCTACACAGAAAGCAAGCACATCAGCATACAATGGGCTAAAGATAGTTACTTCAATAAATGGTGTTGGGAAAATTGGACAGATCAGTGCAGAAAAATAAAACTAGACCACCTTCTTACATCACACATAGGAGTAAATTCAAAATGGATTAAAGATGTAAGTGTTAGAACCAAGACCATAAAAATTCTAGAAGAAAATATAGGCAGCAAAATCTTGGAAATTGCTTGTAGCGATATTTTATCAGATATACCTCCCCAGGCAAGGGAAATAAAAGAAAAACTAAACAGATGGGACTACATCAAACTAAAAAGTTTTTGTGCAGAAAAGGAAACCATCAACAAAATAAAAAGACAGACAACCCACAGAATGGGAGAACATATTTGCTGCTACATCTGATAAAAGGTTAATATCCAAAATATATAGAGAACTTACAAAACACCAAAAAACAAACAAACAAAAAATAAAAAACGACCCCAAGCCAAACAACCCGATTAAAAAATGGGCAAAGGACCTGAATAGACAGTTTTCCAAAGAGGACATACTGATGGTCAATGGACATATGAAAAGATACTCTATACCATTAATCATCAGAGAAACGCAAATTAAATCACAATGAAATATCATCTCATACCTGTCAGAACAGCTATTATCAAAAAAATCAACAAACAAGTGCTGGCGAGGATGTGGAAAAAGGGGGACCCTTTTGCACTGTTGGTGAGAATGCAGACTGGTGCAGCCACTGTGGAAAGCTGCATGGAGATAGCTCAAAAAATTAAAAATGGATCTGCCTTTTCACTCAGTGATCCCACTTCTGGCAATACGTACAAGGGAACCCAAAATACTAATTTGAAAGAACATAAGCACCACTGTGTTCATTGAAGTGTTATTTACAACACCAAGATATGGAAGCAGCCCAAGTGTCCATCAATAGATGAGTGGATAAAACAACTATGGGACATTTACACAATGGACTACTACTCTGCCTTAAAAAAAGATTTTACCCTTTGCGGTAGTATGGATGGATCTGGAGAACATCATGCTAAGTGAAAGAAGCCAGTCAGAGAAAGACAAATACCATATGATTTCACTCATATGTGGATTCCAATGAACAAACTGAACTATCAAGGAAAATAGAGACAGACTCATAGAGAGCAGGATGGCAGCTAAGTGGGGAGAGGGTAGAGGGTAGAAGAATTGAGCAAAAAGGAAAAAGGACTCATGCACATGAACGATAGTGTGGTGTTTGCGGGGGTGGGGATGAGGGAGTAAAAGAGGACTAAATGGTAATGGAAAAAAATACAATAAAAAAGTAAAACTAAAGAAAAATAAATTAGGGAACATTTGGCACAATGGATATTTTGCAGCCATTAAAAAAGATGAGGTAGCTCTATTATGTCAAATGCCAAAACATATTAAAGGAGAAATGCATGTGGCTGAACAGTATATTGAGGAGCTATAGACAGCTTATGTGTGCAGAGAAAGTTCTGGAAAGCTAGCAATCCATAGCAATGTCTCTGGGAAAACATTAGGAACTTTATGACTTTTCTAGTGTTTGAATTTAACAAGCAAAAACCTTGAAAAAGTAGTTATCAGCAAGTGTGATAAGATATATAAAGTATATCGTAACATAAAGTAACTAACTCTGCTTGCCTAAGTTAGGGAAAGCTTAGAGAATGTTTTCCTTTGGGCACAGAAATAGACATTCCAATCAGAGCAAACAGGAAGTTCAGTAGCACCCAGACCTTAAAGGGTCAGAGTGTTCTGGGAATGGCAGCTCGTGGTGGAGGATAGCTTCAAGGGCGAGTAGACTTTGGAAATGAAAGGGACGTGGTCAGATTGTGAAGTGCCTCAACTATTACTTAGAAACATAGACATGGCCTAGTTAGTGGAGAGTCTCTGGACTTTTTAAAAATGCATTTTTCATTTTGGAGTAAATTTGGATTTACAGAAGTTGCTAAGAGTTCCTGTATAGACCCTCACCGTTTTGTCTCCCTTATGTTGTCTTACATTATCGTGATGCATTTGTCAAAACTAAGAAACCAAAACTAGTACATTATCATTAACTAAGCTCCAGACTTTATTCAGATTTCACCAGTTTTTCCATCTATGTCCTTTTTCATTCCAGGAGAATATCCAGGATCCCACATCATACTTAGTAGTCATATCTCCTTAGTCTTCTTTGCTGTGTGAGTTTTTGTCTTTGTTTTTCCTGATCCCAACAGCTTTGAGGTAGTGACCAGGTTGTAGAGTGTCCCTCAATTTGGATTTGTCTTATGTTTTCTCATGATTAGATTGGTGTTGTGGATTTTGAAAAAATACCAGAGATGAAGTGCCTTTCTTATCACAACAAAGGGCACTTGATAGTCACACGTCATCACTGGTGATGTTAACCTTGGTCACTTTGTTAAATGAGTATTGGCTGGGTTCCTCCATTTTTAAGTGTCCCCAGTTTTCCCCTTTTCACACTTCCTAGGTTTTTAAATTTTATAGTATGATGATTACAACTGATGTTTCATGCAACTCTGTTGGCTGGCTGATGGGGACAAGCTGGAAACAGGAGTGCCAGTTATATAATTAGGGGTGTTACAGTAGTTCAAGTGAGAGATGACAATTGCCTGATCTTACAGTGGCAATGGTAGTGAAAAGGATTAGAGGTATTTGGGCTTTTCTAGGCAACAGGAATGACTTATGGTAGTCATAAAAGAAACAGGGCAACCAACACTATCATGAATCATGAGTGGTTTAGCATAGTGGTTTGGGTGTGACACATCTCACAAACTGAGAGTTCGCTGGTTCTGTTCCTGGTCAGGGCACATGCCTGGGTTGCAGGCCAGGTACCTGTTTGGGGGCCAGAGAGAAGTAACAACTTGATGTCTTTCTCACAGACCGATGTTTGTCTTCCTCCTTTCCCCTTTCTAAAAATAAGTAAGGAAGTAAAATAAAAAAAATACATGAAGTATTTTATTTATTTGTGTGTCCCGGTTGGGCACTGTCCTGCAAAGCAAAAAAACAAACAGAAAACAACCCGTAACGATGCCACTTCATGCCCCTTATGATGGCTATAATCAAAAAGTCAGGTAAGTAGTGTTGGTAAGGATGTAAAGAAATTAGAATCCTCACTGTTGTAGCAATGTAAAATGGTGGAGTTGGAAAACAGTTTGAGAGTTACTCAAAAATTTAAACATATTTACCATTTGATGCTACAGTTCCATTCCTACGTATATACCCAAGAAAAATAAAAATGATATATACAAAGCCTTATACAAGAATGTTCATAATTCATTATTGCCAAATGGTGGAACATCCAACGGATGGATTGAAAACTGTGGTATATCCATACCGCATTTGTCCACATTTATGGCCAATATTATTTGGCCATAAAAAAGGATGGAGCCCTGACATATGCTACAGCATACATGAACCTTGGAAACATTATACTAGTGAAATAAATCACAAAAAACTACATTTTTTTTTTTAAATAAAATGTTCTGAATAGGCAAATCTAGAGACAAAATATTAGTACCTTCTTAGGGCTGGAGGGTTGTGGAGAGAATAAGCCGTAATAGGTCAATGGTATAGGGTTTCTTTTGGGGGCGATGAGAATATTCTAAAATTATTGTGTTGGTTGTATAACTATGTACATGCAAAAAGCCACTGAATTGTACACTTTAAATATGTGAATTATATCTTAATAAAATTATTACCAGAAAATCAGGGGACACATGGCATGGCAATTATATTTGTTCAAATTATACTCGTTCAAGCTAAAGTGACTAAACTTACAGCTATGAAATTCCGTGTTTGTGCTTGAATATGGGATCAAAAAAATAACATGACAAATAGTATGTACCGTTCGAACTTTTATTAACAAAATAGAAAACTAAACTCAAACAACTGCTTTGTTTTGGCTTCTGATCTGACCATAGGGCAAAGACGCAATTCTTTATGAGGATGTAGGTGAGAACTGTCAACATACCAGTTCCATTACAAATGGCATACTGGAATATCTAATAAAGGTAGTAAATGAAATTAAAGAGAACATAATAAATATTAAAAACAACAGGAATCTCTCCCTCAAATACAGGCTCCTAAGAGTCTTCAGTGTAGCTCATTTGCAAGCAAGGTCAATCAGTTTGAACAACCCCCAAAGGAAAAAACTGAGGGAATTCATGGATAATTTTCACAGCGTCATTGTAAAGTCCAAGATCTGAAAGAAACATTTAATTTACAGTGAAAAGCTGTAACATCAATTATTATCTAAACGATTTTTACCTCTTTTTATCTTCCTTTTACATTTCAGCTTATTTTCAATCCATTTTCTAAAACTGAGATATGGATCATTGTATTTATTTAAAAAATAAAAGATATGGGTTACAGGAGATCATCCACTGTATAGGCTCAATTCTTGCCTTGTTGTGTTTTTAGGTATTATGCATTATTTGATGCCTTTAATCCATACATTAAAACAAAACAAAAGATTAACATTATTTTTGTCCTATTTTAAAAATTCTCTTTCTGCAAATATGAATTAATCTTTACTGAGGTTCCTACATATACACCCTACTGAGGAGGGAAAAATGCCCTCCAATTTTCCTCTGAGATCAGAAAATTCTATAGAAATTGAAATTGTGGAAGGACTGAAACTCAAGACCAAGACATGTCAAATTAAGAATAAAATTGTTTTTCTCCTAAATACATGAAACTAGAATGCTTTATTTACCAAAAGGCTGGATGTCTTCTTTAAACTGGACATAAGACGCACACATAATGGTTGCCTTGGCTGTTACTCTTCCAACTACTTCTATAGTTCCAGTGATTTCTTCATCAAGCTAACACAAAGAGCAAAATATTAACTTCATGTTATCACATTTTCAGTCGATAATTAACTTGGAAAATTGTTATACAATCTACTAATCTTCCATTTCATGTTACAATAGTTAAAAAATTTACCAATGCAAAAACTGAATTGTAACCTGTTAAATATTTCAGTACTTACTGTCCACGTGTCACAAGTGCTGATTACCTTTAGCAGTAGCCCCAGGTCCAAAGACACAGTTAAATGTTTAAGTTAAAGACAAAAATCCCTTAAAGATAGTAAGAAGTAATTTGTTCAAAAAGACCCATTGAAATAAATTATTATCCGTATCTTGTACACTGTGTTCTATATACATTAACCAAACAACACAAGCATTTGTCTTAATAAAAGACCAAAAGAAGGAAATATAAAATATAAAAACAAATTAACAAAAGATATGTAAACAAAAATAGAAAACACAATTTAAAAAAATGTGAAACTCTTTAAGAAGTGATTTAAATGAAAGATCTACCTTACGGGATTTTATGGTCTTTCAATTTTTAAAAAAAATGTTACTGGTTTTGTGGGGGGAGAGAAACACTGATTTGTTGTTTCACTTATTTATGCATTCATCGGTTGCTTCTTGCACCTGCCCTGACCTGGGATGAAATCCACAACCTTAGTCTATCAGGATGACACTCCAGTCACCTGAGCTACTGGGCCAGGGCTTATGGTCTTTCATAAGAAATGAGAATTATCACCCAGTATTTAAGAAATGTAATAAAAAATAATGGAGCCCAAAGAATCATTGATTAGACATGTAAAGGGAAATACAATAGGAGGACAAAAATTTAATTTTACAGCCAGGGAAGTTTTATAAGCTGCTCCTTTATGCATCCACTCCAAGAATCAGAAATGTCAGCAACAACCCAAAACAAGATGTAGAATTAACTATGATATGCATAGAATTAATACTTAAACATACAGGTTCCATCAACTCAATAGTTGCACTTTTCCCCTCTCCATCTGAGAGAATAAACATTTTTCCAGAGGGATGAATCTAAAAAAGAAAACACATGATGGAAAAATATCCCACATAAACAAAACTTTTACAATCTCATTTAAATAAAAATAAGTATCATAAAAGATGGGCACATTGACCCAAACAATAAATGCACACAAAGCAATTGTTTTTGAACAGTTTATTTGGTTCAAATGATAATCTTGTTACCATATCCAAACAACGCCTAATTATATTTCAATTTCAAATAAACTTTTTTTTTAAACTACAAATATGGCCTGTATTTTTATTTGCTGTATCACACAACCTTATGCTAAAAACTAATTAAAGGGGGGAGGGGGTCCAGACTTACCTAAAAGTGAGATCTACTGGCACCCATGATTTAAATAGTACATGTCCCACACAGGGTATGTTTTAAAAATCAGGCATGAAGTAAAAAGAATTGGTTGTCAAAAGGTCGGGGTTCTTGTTGTGAGAGAGTTGCCAAGCGTACAGTCAGACCTGATTCGAGTGCCAGCTTTGCTACTTGATGTGGTCTTGAGCATTTTAAACACACACTACTCATACCCAGTTTCCCTAGTCAGAATAAAACCTATTTCCAAAGAAGGTTGTGCGGCAGAAATTACTAAATAATCCTTTAGTTTATATTAGTTTTCTTTCTCTCAGTTTTCTTGGTTCACCGATTCTGAGACTTTCGGCCTGTTTTTCACCAGAAGGATGAAGGCGCTGTGCACTCTTAGCACTGGGCTAAGACAGCAGACTGCTATGGAACCTGGATGGCACCATCAAGGAATGTTATAGGGAGAAGTGATTTTAAGGACAAAGGAGGTTTCAGGAGAATTGTAGAAGAAAACAGGAAAATTAGGCCAGCTGTTAAGTCTGGCTAAACTGAAATATCAAGAAAGTAGATGTGGGAGTCAAATCTATAATTTCTCTTAGGTAAACACAACCATAATGATGTGGACGACGTTAGAACTTAGAACGGAGAGTATTCGTAAACATTGCTATTACGTCATGAAAGAGGCGCCAAAATGGGGCTGCAAGAGCTAAAAAGTGCGCAAAAATAAAGCAACCGGGGGCTCAGTAATGGTCACTTAAGACTTTCTGTCCTCCTTCACTACCCGTTATCAACCCTGGGGCCGCCCCACTGGCGGTGAAGGAGGTCCCTTTTCCTATCTCTACCCTCTCCCCGCCCCCACTCAAGACTACAGACCGGGGCTCAGGGCGGCGAGCGTGCACACCTTTTCCAGCCTCCCTACGAAGCAAACAGGCCGGTCGATGAACTGAGCTAGCATGCTGGCGTTGATGCGCGCCTTGGGCAATTCCATCACCTCCATCATCACTGCAGAGCTCGGTCGTCAGACGGCGGGAAAAAAGAAGCGGAGTGAAAAAACACAGCGCGGGCGTTTATGGGGCAGATTTCTCTAGCACCAATCGACGGAGGGCACCTCTTTATCTCCACCAATCAAACGCGCGGAAACCTCGATCGGATTCACGCAGTCCGCCAAGGGGAAAGCCAAAGGCGGGATACGCCCGGAAGCGGGGGATCTGCTGCTTAGTGACGCGTAGCGTCCCGGAAGTTGCTCCTGTCCACCAAGGAGAGGGCAGTGGAGGCGGTGCTTGGGTGGGGCGGGGCCTGAAGGTTGCTCCCTACGGCTCCAGCGTCCCCGCCGCTACTAGACCCCGGAAGCAGGGTATCGGGCTCCGGCGCTGATGCGGCAGGGGACTGCGGTGCTTGGCTCAGGTACCTCTTCTCGCGGGAGGCGCCACAGCCTTACTCTTCTACCCATCTCCCCACCGACGGATACGGAAAAGAGAGGCGGGAGTCGGTGTTGTGCACTGGCTGTTCCCATTATCCTACTCCCCCTCTTCCAGGTTCTGCGTGGGAAGTGCGTTATTCTTGCTGAATGATACCTAGGGATAGGGTTTTTTGTTTTGTTTTACACCCGCCCTCCTAGAGATGGGAAGTGGGGTCGCCAGTGATCTTAACCGCCTTTGTAAGGCCCCCCGAGGCATGGTGTCAAGAGTGTTGGCGATTTACTTTCCGGGCTGCGTCACTTTCCCTTGTCAGTTTCCCCCCCTAAGAAGAAGGGTCGACCTGATTACCTCTGTAACCTTTCCTAGTCCTGACAATCTGACCTCACTGCGGAGGTGGGGGTTTTCTCATTTCCATGTTAGCATCTGGAAGTGGGTTGGGGGTGGGGAAAGGACCTCTGGTCTAGGGTAGGAGAATTTAAATACTTAGATCCACAGCACGTGCGCTTCTCCCTCATTCATAATTTCCCCATCCGCAAAATGACAGGGTACATAATGTTTTGCAAAGTCCCAACTCACTAATTTTTGTCCATATCGTTCGCGGACCCCTTTTTTTAACTCCACAGCCGTCTTTTCCCCCATTGCTCTCTGCTCTCCAGGACTCTGAAGGGGAGACCTGGAGGTGTGGAAGATTCCTTTTTTCCAGATTTGGACGGGGCGAGGGGAGAGGAGATCCCCAAATCTCTCACTGACTGGCGTGACTGTCGATTGTAGGGATTTTACCTGCCATCTGGTATCTGCGTTGCCAGGGATATTCCAGAATGAGTGTTCATAAAAATACCTGCCATTGGTGCTGCAGACATTGGAAAACGCTTTTTTTGGATATTACGATGTCTTGGAAACCGAGTTCTTGACTTTGTCTAAGGCACCTTAGTTCAAATTCGGGTACCTAGCGGGAGTCTCCAATTTTGTCCCACAGTTGCCTTAAGCAAGTAAGATCCTTTTGAGACTTCACATGGCAATTTAAATTGGAAATCTAATGTACCATAATTAATGATAGCCTCTCTCAGTGTTTACTTAGCACTGAATATAATTGTCTTTAAATGTTGCTATCACTAAAAAAAAATTAATGAATTTTGTTAACACATGCAGGGTGCATGTACGTTGGCGCATTAAAAAGTTGTAGTACTGGTGCAAGTCAGCAAAGTCTATCTTACATACCTTCTTCAAAAGACAATGTCTTTTACATCTTAGTGTTGCTTTGGAAAACAAATCAATGTATGTTATATAGGGTAAGGTACACATGAATGTAATCTTTAATAGCAATATTTAAAGACCAATCCTTTAAGTACCAGATGTTCATGTCATTGTTTTATTATAAAGGACCGCTTTTACTTACAACAGCATATTACAACAAACCAGAGACATGAGGAAAATGATTTAAAACAGGTTTTTTGATATTTTTTGAGTCACTTAAAATTCATTATGTGACATACAATGTTCAGGAAAAGGAGGAAAAGGGCATATGGCTAGTATGTATACAGTACTTTCCTTAGAGATTAAATGAAATCATTCAGTTTAGGAAATGGAACTTTACCAATTAGTAGTTTGTACTCCCTCAATTAATTTCTCCCTACCAGCCAGAAACACTATCTTGAAAATACTAAGCATCTCTACATATTTTTATTTACAGGTGTAGGCATTCCCAAATGGAATGTTGTTTAATTTTTCCAATTTTGACCTTGATATAAATGAAATACCATGTATATCTTCTGACTTGTTTCTTTTGCTTGTTTTTGAGATTAATCCATGTTGGTACATGTAGGCAGAGTTCATTCCTTTCATTCTGCTATTTTGCTGCTATTGACTGACATTTTGATTGTTTGCAGTTGTGTGCAGGGCTTCTATGAATATTTTTTTGTACTTATTTTGAACATAGGGTGTGCATCTTCAGCCTTACTAGTAAAACCAAGTTTTCCCCCAAGTAGTGGTACAAATTTATTTTCATATTGGGAGTATAGGAGAATTCCAATTGATCCACATTTCTAGCAACTCTTAAAAGTTTTTTTCCCCCTAATCTGATGGATGTGAGATGGTTTCTTGTGCTCTTAATTTGCTTTTTTTTTTTTTGTAATTTTTATTTTTTGGCTGATTTTTTCTTACTGGTTTTTAAGAGCCTTTTGTATTGGGGCTGATAGTAATGTTGCATTTCTTAGTTTTTAGACTATCCCTTAATTTTTTCATTCTTTATGTCTTCTTTTTTTTCTTTCATTGAAAAGATCTCCTACTTTTAATATAGTTAAAATGATTTTTCCTGAAGTTTAGTGTAGTTGAAGTCACTTTTAAAAATCTCATTTAAGAATCACTTCTTAAAACAAGCTTTTAACGTACACTATATTCTCAAAATTTTGAAATGTTTTGTCTTTCATATTTCAAAATGTTCCATTACCTAGAACTGAGTTTTTATGTATGTTGTGAGATACCCAGTTTCTTTGATTTGGTTTCACTTCAATTGTCCCTGCATCATTTTCGACCGTAATCATTTGCCACCGACCGATGTCACCTCAAGTTTCCATCTATGTGTGGGTTGTTTCTGGGCTCTCAGTTATGTTCTCTTCGTCCTTTTTTCTGTCCCAGCACTATTACTCACTCTCTTCGATACTGTGGCCTTATAACTTTGATGTCTTGATGGAAAGTCCTTTTCCCTTGTGTGTTCTTCAGGAATGTCATAGTTCTTTTTGGCTGTTTGCTACTTCATATAACATTTAGCTCGTCAGATTCCATGGAAAACTGTTGGGATATGATCACAATTGCATTTGAATCCTTGGATTGATTTCAGGAGAAGTTAACATCTTAATGACAACTTTTACTATTCTTGAGTTATTTTTGTCCTTTTACATTTTTTTCCAAAAAGCTTCATAATTTTCTAAATAAAAGTTTCGACTTTTAGATTAGGTTTATCCCTAGGTACCATGCTTTTGTTGCTATCATAAGTGTTATTCTTTAAGTTAAATATTTTTAACTTAAAAATATTCCTTATTGTTCCTGGTATATAGAATGTATTCAACATTTTTTCTGGCCGTGCTTAAACTCTCATTTCTAGTAATTTTCTGGAAGATTAATTTTCTATTCATATGTGAATAATTATAGTTTTGTTTCTTCACAATTCTTACATATTTGATTTTTCTTGTGTTTGCCCAGGCTAGAGCTTCCAGTACCATTTTGAATAGAAATGGTGTTTCAGTTAAGATGGGGTTTGACTGTATAAGGAAAAGTGCCTTAAATACTTAGTTTCATATATCAGGAGTCCAGGAAGATGCAACGTGGCATGCAATTGTGCGGCAGCGCGTCTAAGACATCAGGGGCCCTGGTTCTTTCTGTCGTCGTCGTCTTCTATGCACACTATCTGGTTCCACCTTTAAGGTCACCTCATAGGCCAGGATAGGTGCTGGAGCATCAGCCATCTACTTCCCATTCCGGACAGCAGAGAAGTGGGCAGACAAAAGGGTGTGCCGTCCTGGGACTCAGCTTCCTTTAAGGAGCCTTCCTGGAGGTCCTTTACGACTTGACGTTCTACTTACTAGGCTAGGACTTTCCCTTCTATCCCCAGTTTGATAAGAGTTTTCATTAGATGGTTATGAAATTTGATCAAATGTTTTTTACCTTAACTGAGATAATGGAAGCGAATGTATTTCCTCATATGGAACCATGCTTACATTCCTGGAAGAAACACAACTTGGTTGTGATATATTATCTTTTATGATATACTCCTGGACTGGATTTGCATTGTTTTGTTTAGGATTTTTGCCTCCTAAAAATTCATGAGTGAGATTGGTCTGTAATTTTTCTTATGTAGTCCTTGTCAGATTCTGGTATCCTTAGGGTTATACTAGTCTCATGAAATGAGTTGTAGAGTGTTTCCTTTGTTCTCTTGGATTCTGTGTACAATTGAAATTGCCCTCTTTGTTGACTGTTTGGTAGAACTCACCTGTAAAACATGCTGGGTCTGAAATATAGACATACCACATTTATTTCACTTTGCTTTATTGATTTTCACAGATGTTGCATTTTTTTACAAACTGAAGGCAAGACCCTCCACCAGCAAAAAGATTGTGACTCATTATATTGCAATACTTGCTTTATTGCAGTGGTCTGGAACCGAACCCACATCATCTCTAGGTATGCCTGTGGTTCACTGTATCGAAGGCTTTAGGCGTGTCCTGCAAGTTTTCACAAGTAGATGTTCTTCATCACTAAGTTATAAATATTTCCTAGTTTCCAACATATTTTTTCTTTGACTCATGGGTTTTTGTTTCCAAGTGTATAGGTTTTACCTGTTGAAGTTATTTTGTTTTATGATTAATTTCTAGTGTTATTGCATTATCATCATATGATATGGTCTGCTACTAATTCTTTCAAAGTAAATGAGACTTGCTTTAAGGCTTATCAAGTACATGGGTAATTTTTGTAAATGTTTCATGTGTGCTTGGAAAAAATTGCATGTTCCAGTTGTTGGGTCAAGCTTGTTAATTGCAGTGTTCAAATATTTCTATCACTTTTTGTCTGAATAATGGCTCAGTTGAGATAATTGTGTTAAGTATCCTATAGATGGTAGCTTCGGCAGTTTCTCCTTGAGTTTCTGATGACTTGTACTACATATTTTTGAAGATTTGTTATTCAGTACATGTAAAATTAGGATTGTGAAGTAAAATGGTGAAATGAAGTAGTGACTATTTCAGATCATGCTTTTTGCCTTAAAGTTAATTTTCTCAGCTGCTACCACAGACATACCAGCTTTCTTTTGGTTATTTTGTTGTATTTTTTTCATCTTGTACTTCACTGAGGGGAGACAAGACCTAGGGGCTTCAGTGCTCACTTCCTCATCTCTTTGGTAGTTTATCAGAGGGCTGACTTGGCAGGTGTCCGCTCAAAGGAAGAACAGATACTTCTTTAACCAGGAGGTTTCCAGTATAACAAAATTGCCCAGAT